AGTCTTTGGAATCCTAGAGTTTTTGAAGTCCTCATCTTTTTAGGATTAGGAAACACTTGGAGGTGTATATATAGAGATATAATCGTTAAATTTTATAGAGAGATATTTTTTGAAAAATTTTCAGCAATTATAGGCTTTGAGGATTGTGTGATGCAATTCAAACCCCAGGTGTGATGCCTAAGGAATACTAGGAGTGATTAGTCAAACTTATTATTCATGTTACTCTACACAACATTTTTACAGTTCACGTGTACTATTCACAGCCTCAGAAACAGTGCTAGTTTTGTTGGCTACTGCTATCCTACATCAGTTTTGGTACAAAAGTGAAAGATCATATGTTCTATGGGTTAAATATTGACATATGACAATGGGAATTCCAAATTTTGAAGGGAGGGATGACCCTACAATGGAAGACCATTGGCTTGCTTCTATTGAGGAGTATTTTCTTAGGCATAATATGTCAGATGATCGGAGAGTGAGATTTGCCGAGATGAATGTTGTAGCCTTGGCCAAAATTACTTTAAAGAGAAGTATCTGCCCTCAAATTATCATGGAAAGTTGTGCAAACAAGTTACTAATCTACTACAACGCAACGTATCAGTAATGGAGTATATTCAAAGATCTAACGTGGCGAAATCGAACAATAGAGGATCCGTTTCAAAAAATTACTCGATTCAAAGCTGACTTAAGGATTGATACAAGGGAAGAATTGCTTCAGTAGCCACTATATAGCATGGTGCATGCATTCCAAGTAGCACTTGGTTCAAAGATGTTCCTAAACTTCCTTAATCAAGTAAATCTCAATGCATTCTCATAAGGAACCGAGTAAGGTTCATAAAAATTAACTCAATGCAACAAACGATCCAATAATTTGGGATGAAGTAGATCGAGTGGAAGAATCAATACAAGCCCAAGCAATTTTGCTACCTACTTGTCCCAAGGCGAAGGCAAAGAGTGAACATCAGGGATATTCCTACACTAGAATCTAAGAAGATGGAGGAAGTACCACTAGTTATGAATCCACTTTGCCTTTAGAGGTGACTAAGTTATTTACTAAGTGCTCCAAAATAGTGCCAAAACAGTAGTCTAATAAAATTTCTCCCATTGATAACCTTTAATCAACAACATCGGCATCTCAAGGGCATGATTTGTTTGCATCTTCCAAAGATCTAAGTGAGCATGAAGAATCACCAATGCTTCTTTCTATTCACTTTGCTTCACCAATTGAATTTATCATTCTAAAGAAGTTTGATGACATGATCAACAAATTTTATTTTTTTTTGTCAGCACAATCAACAAGTTCAATCACCAAATCTATGCTTTATTTCCTCAATTCAACAAGAAAATGAGGCTTCATCTCAAGACTTTTCAAACACAAGGGGGATCATCTCAACTTTTATTATATGCTTTGAGGATTGTGTTCAAACCCTAGGTATGATGCCTAAGGAACCTATGAGTGATTCCTAGTCAAAATTATTGTTCACCGTGCTTCCTCGATAAGGGTAGAATACGCCCTATGGTCGATTGAAGGACTTGTGCCACTTGAACTCAAATCTATCTTACCTTCAATCCATCTTTGTCCATCCAACTCATAACAAAATGTTAGACCAATCTCTGGGTTAACACAACCGAATTGGTTGTGGAAAATGAAACCCCTAAGACCAAGCACTCCCACTCCCAAAAAAGCGAAGACCGAAGAACCGCCAAGTTGTCGAGGACACGTCTGAAGAGGGGGCAGGCGCCTTCTAAGTCCATTCATTAGGGTTGGAGATGGATGAAACCAATCAAAAATAAAAATTGCACAAGCAAAGCCGGGAAAGGGACAGCAACACAACGAATCGAGCTGTAGAAAGACCATATCCTGACATCAAGCATATTATTGAAGCCCAAACATATTTCTAATGCTAGGACAGCTGGTAACTCATGTCTACTTCTCTTTCTGTAACAACTCATTATGCAACAAGCACATCGGCATAAATACCATTTTCCTTTTATGAAAATATCCCAGCTAACACAACGAAAGACCATCTTTTTGGCATCAATCATCAAATCAGGCAAAGATTCATGCACACCCCTAGAAATAGTAAATGGTCGTTCTTCAACTGCTTCCTCCTTTGATGCTTTATGTTGAACGAGCTAAGTTCCAAACCCAAATAATTGGCAAAAATGCCTTGCCCAATCATCACTAATGGAAATGGATGCCTTGTCTAGGTTTGGAACCCTCCCTCAAAGCCTTTTCCGCAAGTCCCATATATGAAAACATAAGTGCCACAACTTCTTCTCAAGTAAGGACTGAATTCTCTCTCACACCCTATACTATAGCAGCTTGCCTCCCCGTGGATATCTTAATGGATTAAGATGTGCAATTCCTTCTTGAAAAATGGGCATATTAATTCCTACCTTTACTAAGCTTTTAGTGTTTTATCCAAACCTCCCTCACAGTCTCTACATGTGGACTGTTATACTCCCAATCACCCCGAAATGACTTCTGCGACATCCCCACTGTTGAATCTAAAGCCTATGATTCCACTTGTAAACAAGTCATTCGCTTTCGAACAGGGGATTTGCCCATTGCTCTTCCTAAGACCGGGAATCCCGCATTTATCGATTCACTTGGGCTTGGACCGATAATTCCATCAAAGCACCTTCAACCTTTCCCAATTTCGAATCTAGTCTCGACATCAATCCTCTTCGGGAATATCTTTCATATCTGGTGGGTAGCTTTTGAATCAGTGGCATTTTTCTTCTTTGTGAACAATCTCTTCCGGCTATGCACCTCCTTTTGTGGGAATCCATGTGATGTGCGCTTTAAATGATTTTTCATCAAATGACTATTCATCTATTGTATTTTCAACAAAACTCTATGAAAATATGTCGGTTCAATTCGATGTTGATTAATAAGGGATTAGAACACGTGTGGGCTAAGTATATCAATGTAAATGAGTACGCCCAGGTTCTACCACTGCAGGGCCAAATTATACTCAAAAGAAGAGTTTGATCCTGACTTCAAACGAATGCTAACCATATACTTAACACATGCAAGTCAAACATACTGTTGTGGTAGAAAATAACAAAACTACCAAACAAGGTGTAACTACGACCAAAGCAAAACGACAATAGGAGACCAAGTTGAATTTTTTTTTTTCAAGTTGGATTAGAGCCTATCGTAGCTTGTTTTGACCTACATTTTAAATAAAGAAAATCCTAATGTGTCTTGCAAAGGAGCATTGGGTGCTTATATTGTGCTTCCGCAGACCATGTTCTACAATCACTCTTTGAAAAGACTTTGATATTTTTATATTTTTGCGGCTTGATTGGCAAATGGTGAGAGTTAGCAATCTAACTTGGTCCTGCTATGCTCATTTTACTGTTCATGTGTCCTATTCACAACCTCATAACAGTGCTGGTTTTGTTGGCTGCCGCTGTCCTACATCACCCACCCATATCCGGAGATATTTTTTGGGTGTCAAAGATAGACCCAATTGTAAGGCTTTTGCTTGGTCTATTGGTCCTAATCGAATGAACACTATCGATTTGTTGCAGATTCAAAGGCCCTATAAAGCTTTGAGCCTCATATTTGTCTTAATTATTTAAATAGTGGAGAATCAAGTGCTCGTTTGTTCATTCATTACGCTTTTGCATGGGGGTTGTGGTATAATTTATTCAAGCTAGTCGGGCATTGGATTGTGGCATTGCTTCAGTGTCAACCCATAGTTATTCATTATATTGGGTTTTTTATTTTTTTTGACGATATATCTTGACCTCCACGATATATCTTGTTTTTTTATTCCCTTTTCTAATAAAATTTCTTCTTTAATCAAAAAAAAAAAAAAGATAGACCCAAAAAGACAACTCCACAAATCCAAGGGCTTGTTTTTTTCTTTAATTTAATAAACATGACAGGAAAATGTTGATTGAAGTGTTAAAAAAAAAAATGAGGCAACACGAGAAGACTCATTATACCTGTTTGTATATAGCCACAGAGACCCTTGTCTACTGTAATGCAACCATTACAAGATGCCTATATTTATGTCAAGAATGATGGAATTTATAGGGAACCTTCATATTCAATATTGAAGGCATAGGCCAAGTATCCAAAGGAAAGATATAGGATGACAATGAGAAACGATTGCATGACCTCTTTCACAGCAAACAATGATGAAATGTGATCACATTCGCTATACTTATGTCTTAGAAGCAAGAGCTTTTCATGAAAGCAAAGTATATGTAAATGCAAGATGCATGATTCCAAAATTATTGACATCAATGACAGACATCTGTAGATGCAGCAGATATTAGAATTCTCACTCATAAAAAATGGTAAGATGGGTATTTGGCCTTCAACTTTGAAGTTCGTGAATATAAAATGACTGGCAGACAAAGATTCTTATGCAATAGCCAGGGTAGATTTTTATACTGCAAAATTAAGGTGTGATAGATTTTTTTTTTTTTTTTAAAAAGGAGTGCAACACGAGGACTTCCCAAGGGCTCACCCATCCTAGTACTACTCTCGCCCAAGCACGCTTAACTGCGGAGTTCTGATGGGATCCAGTACATTAGTGCTGGTATGATCGCACCCATGTGATAGATAAGCCTCTTTTTAGGGTTGGAATTCTGTCAATCACCAGAAAAAGATGCTTATTCTAGATTGACTTTCCTTTCTCCAAGGAGCTTCTTAGGATTGATTCTCATCCCGCAGAGGGATTTTGTGGACAGGAGGATAGTTATCTTGGAATCCCTTTCCTTGTTCTAATAGCTTACCAAATTGTTCTTGCCCGTTGCATAGGGGTTTCTGTGTCTTGACCAGGGTTGGCATGATGCACTTTATCTCCTTCAACTGTTCTACATCAGATGTAACTTCTTCATCTTATCTCTTTCTTATAAAACAGAGGTTTTGTAATTTCTCCATATTTTCCATCAATAGCACTTCCTATTCCCTAGTGCATATGCACGAAGTCCAAAAAAAAAAGACGGGGAAAAAGACGATGGCATTCATCCTTTCAGTATATGGGAAGAGATCTTACCGCATGAAGGCGTGCAATTTTAGTATTCTTTTCCACAGCATCGATCCCTGTTACAGTAGCTCCCATTCGAGCCAATGGCTGAAAAAAGGAAATGAGACAACAATCACTTCTTGCTGGATAATGTTGTTACCTATATGTGGTTTGTGTAAGCCAAACTGATATGCATCATCTTTATATTCACATGTGCATAATTCTCCAAAGTAAAACATGTAAAACACGCATCATAGTGTTGTTATAAGTTATTAAGAGTTTTCATAAATCTTGTTTCTCCATTGTGCTTATCAAGGGTCATATTTGTTAAATTATGAGCTACCATATTCTTTTTGACTACTTCATTCAGTGTTAATTTTGGCCCACCACTACCTCTTGCATTATTATGCATATATATTAAATCACTATTTCTCCCCAGTGCATACTAGGTCATCCATAAACATGTCCAAAACACTTAAGTTCATTCTTTCTTAATATATATATATATACACACACACACACACTAGCATAGTTATCAAAATCGTACGATTCAGTTCGATACAGGTACAAAACAATTTATATCTTATGTGAGAATCGTTTAGAGTTAAATCGTACAATTCGCATCGCATGAATAGAATGATTGATGCAATCACTTTTTTTAAAACCCAAATTTTTGCAAAATGACATCGTTTTGTCCGCTAAATAGTAGAACGAAGTTGTTTTGTTTGCAGAGGAACACACGAATAAAAACTCAACGTCTTTGCTCGTTGTCTCTGATATCGTCTAAAACTCGCTTTGCGTTATAAAAAGCTAAAGGTCACGGCTAACGCTCTCACATCATCGATTAATTTTTGCTCTTAATTCTTTTATAGGTAGTTTATGTTCTAATTTTTTGTTTCAAAATGTTGGTCTGTATGTTTTCTTCCAATTAATTTCTTTATTTGTTCTTTTTCCATTCATGTTTGTAACATAATCTATATTAGGTGTCCCTATTTTGGTTCTTAAATAGTCATGGTTCTTTAATAAAAAAAAATTTCAAGTTATTGAATTCTAAAATGGCTAAGAAAAAGATGAAAATGAAATAAAAGGCTAGCGTCTTTCCATATAGACAATGTGATTATATCAATTGATTATTTTTAGAATGCAATAATGTTCAATATTCAATATTATGTCTATTTTAAATATGTAGTATTATTTTTTAGTTTTGTTCAAATTTTGTGTCGAATCTTACGATTCACGATTCTTAAATTTAGGATTCCGATTCACGAGGACACGGGGAGGACATAAACCTTAACCCTTTAAAAGAAAACAAAATTTATAGCAACCAACATAAAATACCAAAGTAGTAGGATCAAGATAGCATAGGATTCTGCCTTAAAGGATACCACCTGAGACCGAGACATCTATAGCACCAAGGCTATTTGTAGGGAAATGTCAGAGCAGTGCATCCCAAGTTTAATTTTGAATTATTTCTCATATATAGACACGTCCAAGCTGTGTTGGAGACATGCCAAGGGGCACCTGAAAAGTGAGCGCCCAACAGACGTACAACAGATGGCTAACAACGTGGCTCCATAACATACATCTTAACGCTACTTAGACTTATCATCTAGGCCAATATACTACAAGAAAAACTAGAGCTCAAATTACAATTAAACATCCATCCATATAAGTATAGAACAAGGCAGACCTCCTTTGAACCCACTCTCAAAATCTTAACTTGTTGAAAGACTACACAAATAATCATGCAATCTAAGAATGCAACATTGAACATCAGATAGATACCAAACTTTTAGGATGTCATGAACGGAATGGACAGTAGTAATTGCCATTGGTATGTCCTTATGAAGCTACATGGAAAGTAACCAAACTGCCAGCATGAAATAACCAAAATTTGGTGATAATTTGAAGAACACATACCTCAGACAGAATTCCACCTCCACAACCAACGTCCACAAAGTTCAGCCCTTCAAAAGGCCTTGCACAATATGGATCCTTTCTGAAAGAAGGAATACTAATCAGAGTTAAAGAATTTGAGAAAAAAGCTTGTGTATATTCATGTTATAACAGATAGAAATCCAGAAAATAATGGATTTACAGCATATATGCTATACATGGCAATGCACCCACAACTCTTTGAACAAACAAAACTGCAAAATGATACACTTAACTGGTATTTGATTTTGAAATAACTGAATATATTGACTCTCAGCCCAGTGCTAGAGTCATAGACCTCTTCATCATTCCATAAAATAAAATAGGGTAAACTTCATCCACACCCCCACATGAATAGCATTATCTTCAATCACACCCCCTCGATTATCTGAAATTTCACCGCACCCCCTTCTAGTTTATATGTTCACTTCAAGCACACCCCTTGCCGTGACAAACCATTACTGACAACTGAAAATAGCTGATGTCATCTTATTTTTTTTTCAAAGTGCACAGCTACACCTTCACTCATATCTTTCATCCACTCACACGCACCACTGTGCAACACCACCACACACCTCCACCCCAAACCACGACACAATGTCATTTTACAACACTAAGCACTACCCAATTCAACAAATCAAAATTAAAAACATCATATTCAAACCAATTTTTTTCTTGATTTCATCTAATTTTTTTCCAGATAAATTATGCCATTAACCAAATATGTAAATTGCTACCTGTAGTTCCTTTAATTTCTCTGTTTTCTGGTCATTTTGCTTCTGCAATAATAGTGTCAATTCCAATTTCTTTGGCACTGGAATTTGTAGTTCCCCATTTGTTACCAGTTACCAATTGCAAAGGATGGTGGTAGTGGTGATTCACGGGTTTGTTGGGTATTAGGCATAGGATTATGGAATCACGATAAATTGAACATATGATGAGGCGAAATTAGACAACAAAATTGGTGGGTATTCTAATACTCTCTCTCTCGCTCTCTCTCTCTCACACACACACACACAATTCTCCTTTTTCCTTAAAACTTCTCCTCTCATTGGGTCCCGACTTTCTCTCTCTAAAATCTCCTTCCTCTCAATAGGCATCAACTGTATCAAAGGTAAAAGGGGACTAAGGGCTCTCTCTCTCTCTCTTAGTTTGGGTAGCCGGAGGATATGTATTTATAACAATATATATGTATGAATATTCATACATATGTATTTATAAAAATGTATATTTAACGCATACAAATAAATGCATAAAATTTGTAAGGGCAAAGAAGTAAAAAAACCTAGTGCTGTTAGGAGAAAAATGCTAACAAGGGGTGTTAGTGAAATTTCAGATAATCGAGAGGGTGTCATTGAAGATAGGACTACTTACGGGGGCGTGAATAAAGTTTACCCAATAAAATAAAAATTCATACATTCACTCTGTGTACAATATTACAAGCAAAAATGATGAAGCAATAATCAGCAGACTGCAAACCTGCAAATTTGTTTGGGAAAACGCAAACCACAACCCCTGTAGATAGGCATCACATCAGGAACACCTCTTGCACTATCCAAAATGGCACTGCCACCTCTTCTAGATCATGTCTTTCTCAAATGGTACCCTACGATGGCTGGCAATTATTACTAACTGAGCTAAAAGGTGCTGATGTCACCTAACATTCTTTCTCAAATACCAAAATTACTGTATTCTTCTTCTCTAGAAGTGCACTAAGCACATACTTCTTCTCCCCAGCACACCCATGGTAACCAAAGCACCACCACTACAGACAACTCCTAATAAAGATTAGAATTAGTCGTCACTTGTCAGCATCATTCACCGGTGGCACGCACACCAGAAAAACACAAAACACAAGCACATAAACCAAAAACATGCACGCGCACTGGAACCCAATCCACACCAATACATCTTCCAAACATACTACACACCAACTCCATTTCTTGTGTTCATGTCCTTTGTTTGGCATTGGATAAATGTCTAAACACTCTCTACAAGGTTACAAGTTATAAGTTTGTGACCCAACTTGTGACTTGGCAAAAGTTGAGGCTTCAGAATAGCTGAAACTTTCATAATTGAAAATTATGGGTGTAGGAAAAGAAAGAGAGAGAAAAAGTGGTTACGAAATAATATGGTGTGTATAGTGCGTATTGCCTACACCCTATCACCTATTGTAAGATCATGCATTGTAATTGGCTAATTTCATGAAGTTTATATAAATCTCAACGTACTCCATGGTCATGATGCTACATCGATGAAGATCCAAAAGCGTCAAATGGAAGGGAGGAGATCATACTTCAAGTTACATCAAAAGAACTCTCTGTATGCACCTTCTTGCTTAGGATAAAGGTAATGACCTTAAAAACCTAAGAACCCTTATTTTAATTTATTAAACTTAGGATGATTAGTTTTAAAATGGAATCGGTGTTGGTCCTAGTATAGATTCTAGGTGATCTTCAAAGAAAAAAAATTTTAAACCTCTTTGTGTTTTGAAAACATGGTTTGAGTCATTATCGGATGCCTCTTAAGCAACACATTTTAATAGTCAAGAGAACTAATTTTTTGCTTAATTTTAGGCTTAAACAAACAGTAATGAAAACCCTATGTTCGCTAGCCTTTATTAAAGCGATCTCTAAAAACTTGGAAAAAAAATTCGGGAAAGGCTATGCATGTGGCAGAGGAGATCACCCTTTGAGTCGCTTGAGGTCGTTTGAGTGGTCACTGCTCTGCAGTACAGATTTGATTCCAACTTTCATTCCAGTGACCATAGTTATCAAAATCGTACGATTTACGATTCGATTTGTACTATTCGGTTCGATACAAGTACAAAAAGATTCATATCTTATATGAGAATTATTTTAGAGTTGAATAACATCTGAATCGTACGATTTAATCATTTTTTTTTAAATCCAATTTTTTGGCAAAATGATGTCGTTTTGTCTATTAAATAGTAAAACAACTTCGTTTTATTTACAAATGAATCAACTTCCTGATAAAAATTTAACCTCTTTGCTTGTTCTCTATTTGACGTCGTCTAAAGCTCGCCTTGCGTTGTCTAAAACTAAAGGTCACGGCTAACACTCTCGTATCATCAATGATATTGAAGACAATTATACTGATTTTTACTCTCAAATCAACCGATCAATCAATTTTTTTATTTGTTCTTTTTTCATTCATGTTTGTAACCTAATCTATATTAGGTGTTACTATTTTGGTTCTTGAACAACCATGGCTCTTTAATGAATTTTTTTTTTTTAAGTTATTAAGTTTGAAATAGGTTAAGCAAAAGATGAAAAGAAAAAAAAGGCTACCATCTTTCTATTTAAACTACGTGATTATGTCAATTAATTATTTTTAGAATGTAATAATGTTCAATATTCAATATTTTGTCTATTTTAAATATGTAACATTATTTTTTAATTTTTTTCAAATTTTGTGTCGAATCTTACAATTCACTATTCTCAAATTTAGAATTTCGATTCACGATACGAATCGCAATTTGACAACTATGCCAGTGACCACCGCCTTCCCACTGTTCGTGCATTCGTTCGCAAAATTATGCTTTCTTGGACCCAAAACAAATCCTATTTTGAGCTTATAAGTAGAGGGATCCTTCCTAAACTAGTGTAATCTAAGATTTTACAAGACCACACAATCCCTTAGATCCCTAAAATCCAAAGGCTCATACCTTATATAAGAAGAATTTGGTTAGTTGAACCAAATCCATTGGAAGTGTGCAAACCGAGGATCTTGCTAGAGAAGATCACTAGAGGCCTAAACAAACTGTGTGGTGGGAAGTCAAGTAAAGGTATTCATAACGTCGAAGTGGGACTTTTGGAAGAGAGGTTTATTGAAGGAAAAGAACTTCTAACCATAGTATTAATTGAGGTATAAGACTCGAGTACTTGAAAATTGACTTTAGAATAATAGATTAGGCTTTGGTGAACCCTAGAGAGGTTCCCCACAGTTTTTCCTAATGAGGGTTCCGCATCAACAAATTGTTTGTGTTCTTTATTATTTTTATATATACACTTGAAATTTGAGCACACACGAGAACTATATGTACCAATTGATTGGTTGAATATTTATATCATACATAGTTGCTTGGTTGGGTTGTTGCCATTGGGTTGGAATTGTCGTGAGAGATCGAGTGTTGAGCATTAAAATTGACAAAATTAATACACCAATCTTCATGGGTTTAAAGGGTCATGGTGGTAGAAAAGGAGTTTTCACGTTAAATTACAATATCATTGTGAAAAGAGGTAATTGGGGTACAATTAAGTTAAAATTGGTGATTGTTGAAGCTTAATTTTAATTAACCTATTCACCCCCCTCTAGATAGTGTTTGACAACCCACGTGTTTAACCGTAAGGGAAGATCTATCAATATTACCTAAATCGTAGATTAATTTGGTACGTAGTACAAGTACGGATACATGGTACAGTACTTGTTTCAATACATAGCACGGTGGGAGTAAACTTAGTTGATACGCTATTTTGGGTCTTGGTTATTTTTAACTTCTATATAGAATAATATATGCATATACACGTAGTTAATAAATATATAGTTTATATTTCTAATAAATGTTGCCAAAATATGAGTTTAGAAAATATCAAAATAAAAAAATAACAAGTTAGAATTATAATTTGGGATTGGGGTTATGATATGAAATTACTTAGATCATGAATCAATCAACGATTTGAGTTATAATGTGTGGTCAGGACTTTGAGCGATCTAGATCGCGTACCCACCCTATTTTGGATCTTGCAATCCTGGTTCTTGGGACACTATGCATATCTATGATCCACATAATCTCCCCTGCAACACCTATTTATATTAGATTGACATTAAAGACAATTATAATATTAAAAATGTAGAACATAATAGTAAAAAGACAAAATACGAAAGTAAAACAATAAGAAAGTAGAACCATAGAAGAGTAACACTCTTAACACTACCCCTCAAGCTTGAGTATAAAGATAAAAAAATATCTAACTTATAACAAAGGCTACTAAAGGTAGACTGCGCCAACGGTTTAGTGAGAATTTCAATGAGTTGATTACAAGAATTTACAAGCGACATGGGGTTGCAATATTTCCACGTGAACCATAAGTAGAATAAAAGCAAGCTCTAGGTTCTTTAATCGACACACACTATTACGATACTTCTCCTAAACGACAAACTCATGTGGTTGCACCATGTAAAGTCTAAGACATGAGTTGAACGACAACGATATGAGCATAAACGAATAGAACCAACAACTCTACAATTGAACCATTGGCAATAACAAATTCAACCGTAACAATCGAAAGTAGGGTAAACTAAGTAGAAAGTTGAATCAACCAAAACGGAATTGAATCAGTGCTCAAAACCACAAAACCAGTACTAAACCAGGCCGAAAACTCCAAAATTGGCATTGAAACAAGCTGAAAAAGATTGAATCGATACTAAGCTTTCTGGAAACCACTAAACTAGCACCAAACTGATCCAAAAATCACTAAACCAAGACTAAAATTAACACTAAACCGGGATGTAAACTAGTACTAAACTGGACCAAAAACCAATGAACCAACACTAAACAAAGCTGCAAACACTGAGCTGGAATGAAAACCACTATATTAGCACCAAACTGGCCCAAAAACTATTGAACTGACATTAAATTGGATTGAAACAATGAACCCGCGCACTAAACTAGACTAAAAAACTGAACTAATGGATTGAACATAGAAATGACAACTACTATTGAACACAGAGACAACCACAACACTAATGCGAATAAGGACGGTCCAACCACTAGGCAATTGAAGCACTAACCTAGGGCCCCACTTATCCAAATATCTTGTTCTGATACCAAATCTAAACTTGAATCATTAAATATTTGGGGAGTAGAAAAAGAAAGAGGGGAAAGAAGAAGAAGAGGAGGAGAGGAAAAAAAAGAGATAATGAACACTATTGTATGTAGGGTGTGTATTGCCTACATCCCTATCACCTCTTTTCATTAGAATGATATTGAAGACTATTATAATATTAGAAAAGTAGAACCTAATAGGAAAAACAACATAACATAAAAGTAGACCAATAGAAAAATAATATTCTTATTAATGTTAGAGTAATCTAGAACATTAGTGGTAGGTGTATATTAGTCATTTATGCTACTATGTTTTGCCCTAATATAAGACTATTATTATGTAGTTTTCCAGTTTAAAATTTGTTATTACGACTTGGTTTATCTTAATGAGAATTTCTCTAATTCTTTTTTTTCTTTCCTCTTTCTTTGATAAATATTAACATGGTATCAAAGTGGGTTTGAATCCAAAATACATCCAAACATCATAACATTACACTAGTAAAAATAGCAAGCAAAAACTAGGCCGGTGCTAGGGCTAATGTCAACAAGCTTCGATGATGACATCAGCATTCTAGACCACGAAGAAACACTACTAGACTCGAATTTTCATGGGCAATCTCATGGTATGGTTAGTTTTTGATTTCGTGGCCATTGAATAGGGTTTTCTAATTTTTGAATTTTTTCAAGATTTTGGAACTATTTTTTCAATCTAAAATCTGAGGTTGTTTTGTCAAATTTGTTGTTTCAAATCGACTCTGAGGGTGCAAATAGGACTATTTGGAGTCTGGTTGGTGGATTTGAAGGCAGTAGGTTGGGTTTTTGGTGGATTTTTGGTAAAATGGAAGTTCAGCTATTGTTCACAGCAAGAACAGGTACTCGAAACTCTTCTTCCTCTTTCTTTCCTGGTCTCCTTTGACCGAAACTCTTCTTCC